ACTATAGTACTAGTACTATAGTACTACTACTATAGTAGTATTACTAGAGTACTACCACTGTAGTACCAGTACTATAGTCACCTGTGGGGTCGTGGAGTAGTCAAACTTGTAGTACGTGTGCAGTGTGGTGTAGTAGTACTACTACTATAGTACTAGTACTATAGTAGTAGTAGTACTCTAGTAATAGTACCAGTACTATAGTCACCTGTGGGGTCGTGGAGTAGTCAAACTTGTAGTACGTGTGCAGTGTGGTGGTACTAGTACTATAGTAATAGTACCAGTACTATAGTAATAGTACCAGTACTATAGTAATAGTACCAGTACTATAGTCACCTGTGGGGTCGTGGAGTAGTCAAACTTGTAGTACGTGTGCAGTGCGGTGGTACTAGTACTATAGTAATAGTATCAGTACTATAGTAATAGTACTAGTACTATAGTAATAGTACCAGTACTATAGTAATAGTACCAGTACTATAGTAATAGTACCAGTACTATAGTCACCTGTGGGGTCGTGGAGTAGTCAAACTTGTAGTACGTGTGCAGTGTGGTGGTAGTACTACTACTATAGTAATAGTACCAGTACTATAGTAATAGTACCAGTACTATAGTCACCTGTGGGGTCGTGGAGTAGTCAAACTTGTAGTACGTGTGCAGTGTGGTGGTGGTACTAGTACTAGAGTAATAGTACCAGTACTATAGTACCAGTACTATAGTAATCGTACCAGTACTATAGTCACCTGTGGGGTCGTGGAGTAGTCAAACTTGTAGTACGTGTGCAGTGCGGTGGTACTAGTACTATAGTAATAGTATCAGTACTATAGTAATAGTACTAGTACTATAGTAATAGTACCAGTACTATAGTAATAGTACCAGTACTATAGTAATAGTACCAGTACTATAGTCACCTGTGGGGTCGTGGAGTAGTCAAACTTGTAGTACGTGTGCAGTGTGGTGGTGGTACTAGTACTATAGTAATAGTACCAGTACTATAGTCACCTGTGGGGTCGTGGAGTAGTCAAACTTGTAGTACGTGTGCAGTGTGGTGGTGGTACTAGTGCTATAGTAATAGTACCAGTACTATAGTAATAGTACCAGTACTATAGTCACCTGTGGGGTCGTGGAGTAGTCAAACTTGTAGTACGTGTGCAGTGTGGTGGTAGTACTAGTACTACCACTATAGTACCAGTACTATAGTCACCTGTGGGGTCGTGGAGTAGTCAAACTTGTAGTACGTGTGCAGTGTGGTGGTGGTACTAGTACTATAGTAATAGTACCAGTACTATAGTCACCTGTGGGGTCGTGGAGTAGTCAAACTTGTAGTACGTGTGCAGTGTGGTGGTGGTACTAGTACTAGAGTAATAGTACCAGTACTATAGTAATAGTACCAGTACTATAGTCACCTGTGGGGTCGTGGAGTAGTCAAACTTGTAGTACGTGTGCAGTGTGGTGGTAGTACTAGTACTATAGTAATAGTACCAGTACTATAGTAATAGTACCAGTACTATAGTAATAGTACCAGTACTATAGTCACCTGTGGGGTCGTGGAGTAGTCAAACTTGTAGTACGTGTGCAGTGTGGTGGTGGTAGTACTACTACTATAGTACTAGTACTATAGTAGTATTACTAGAGTAATAGTACCAGTACTATAGTAATAGTACCAGTACTATAGTCACCTGTGGGGTCGTGGAGTAGTCAAACTTGTAGTACGTGTGCAGTGTGGTGGTGGTACTAGTACTACCACTATAGTACCAGTACTATAGTCACCTGTGGGGTCGTGGAGTAGTCAAACTTGTAGTACGTGTGCAGTGTGGTGGTGGTACTAGTACTATAGTTATAGTACCAGTACTATAGTAATAGTACCAGTACTATAGTCACCTGTGGGGTCGTGGAGTAGTCAAACTTGTAGTACGTGTGCAGTGTGGTGGTGGTACTAGTACTATAGTAATAGTACCAGTACTATAGTAATAGTACCAGTACTATAGTAATAGAACCAGTACTATAGTAATAGTACCAGTACTATAGTCACCTGTGGGGTCGTGGAGTAGTCAAACTTGTAGTACGTGTGCAGTGTGGTGGTGGTACTAGTACTACCACTATAGTACCAGTACTATAGTCACCTGTGGGGTCGTGGAGTAGTCAAACTTGTAGTACGTGTGCAGTGTGGTGGTGGTACTAGTACTAGAGTAATAGTACCAGTACTATAGTAATAGTACCAGTACTATAGTAATAGTACCAGTACTATAGTCACCTGTGGGGTCGTGGAGTAGTCAAACTTGTAGTACGTGTGCAGTGTGGTGGTGGCACTAGTACTATAGTAATAGTACCAGTACTATAGTCACCTGTGGGGTCGTGGAGTAGTCAAACTTGTAGTACGTGTGCAGTGTGGTGGTGGTACTAGTACTATAGTAATAGTACCAGTACTATAGTCACCTGTGGGGTCGTGGAGTAGTCAAACTTGTAGTACGTGTGCAGGACTCGCCGGAGGTAGCAGCGGCAAATCTCGTCGGGGCTCCCACGGTCCTCAAGGTAACGTTGCAGCCGGCGGATGCAGAGAGAAACACGGCCCTCATCCTTCAGGTGGTCCACATACTCTGTGGGGGGAGGGTGGGGGGGAGAGTGGGGGGAGAGTGGGGGGAGAGTGGGGGGAGAGTGGGGGGAGAGTGGGGGGAGAGTGGGGGGAGAGAGAGAGAGAGAGGGTGAGTAAGACAGTCAACTCATGGAGAGAGAAACACGGCCCTCATCCTTCAGGTGGTCCACATACTCTGTGGGGGGAAGGTGGGGGGAGAGTGGGGGGAGAGTGGGGGGGAGAGTGGGGGGAGAGTGGGGGGAGAGTGGGGAGGGAGAGTGGGGAGGGAGAGTGGGGAGGGAGAGTGGGGAGGGAGAGCGGACAGGTGAGTGAGTGGATGAGGGTGATTGAGTGGATGAGCGGGTGGGCGAGTGAGTGAGCGAGTGGGTTAGCGAGTGGGTGAGTGAGTGGGTGAGTGAGCGGGTGGGAGAGTAAGTGGGCGAGTAGGTGAGTGAGTGGGTGGGCGAGTGGGTGAGTGAGCGAGCGGGTGGGTGAGCGAGCGGGTGGGTGAGCGAGCGTGTGAGCAATTGAGCGAGCGAGTGGGTGAGTGGGCGAGTGGTGATGGTGAGTGGGTTGAGTTAGTGGGTGAGTGAGTAGGCAAGCAAGTGGGTGAGTGGCTGAGTGAGTGACTGAGCAAGTGTGTGAGTGCCTGAGTGGGTGACTGAGCGGGTGGGTGAGCGCGTGAGTGGGTGACTGAGCGGGTGGGTGAGTGAGGGAGCGTCTCGTCTTGAGTGAGCGGGTGAGTGAGCGGGTGAGCGAGTGAGTGGGTGAGTGAGCGGGTGAGCGAGCGGGTGAGCGAGCGAGTGGGCGAGTGAGTGGGTGAGTGAGCGGGTGAGCGAGCGGGTGAGCGAGTGAGTGGGTGAGTGAGCGGGTGAGCGAGCGGGTGAGCGTGTGAGTGGATGACTGAGCGGGTGAATGAGTGAGTGAGGGAGCGTCTCGTCTTGAGTGAGCGAGTGAGTGGGTGAGTGAGCGGGTGAGCGAGTGAGTGGGTGAGTGAGCGGGTGAGCGAGTGAGTGGGTGAGTGAACGGGTGAACGAGGGGGTGAGCGAGCCCTCACCCTGGGAGTGAGCGTCCGCGTTCTGCATTATCTTGGTGAACTCCTCATCCATCCGCTCCACCAGGCTCAAGATGCAGCCTCTCACTCGCAGCGGCTACACACAGAGACACACACACAGATATACACACACAGACACACACACAGATATATATACAAACACACACACAGACATACACAGACACACACAGAGATACACACACAGACGCACACACACACACACAGATACACACACACACAGATACACACACACACAGATACACACACACAAAGACACACACAAACACACACAAAGATACACACACAGACAAACACACACAGAGATACACACACAAACACACACAAACACACACACAGCACACACACACAGATACAGACACACACAGAGACACACACACACCTTAACTTAACACTTCACTTACGACGTTATTGAAGTGTTGGTGTAGGGGGGGATGGTGTAGGGGGGGATGGTGTAGGGGGAGATGGTGTAGGGGGTGATGGTGTAGGGGGGATGGTGTAGTGGGGGATGGTGTAGGGGGTGATGGTGTAGGGGGGGATGGTGTAGGGGGTGATGGTGTAGGGGGGATGGTGTAGGGGGTGATGGTGTAGGGGGGGGATGGTGTAGGGGGGATGGTGTAGTGGGGGATGGTGTAGGGGGTGATGGTGTAGGGGGGATGGTGTAGTGGGGTGATGGTGTAGGGGGGGATGGTGTAGGGGGTGATGGTGTAGGGGGTGATGGTGTAGGGGGGGATGGTGTAGGGGGGGATGGTGTAGGGGGGGATGGTGTAGGGGTGATGGTGTAGGGGTGATGGTGTAGGGGTGATGGTGTAGGGGGGGATGGTGTAGGGGGTGATGGTGTAGGGGGGGATGGTGTAGGGGGGGATGGTGTAGGGGTGATGGTGTAGGGGGGATGGTGTAGTGGGGGATGGTGTAGGGGGTGATGGTGTAGGGGGGGATGGTGTAGTGGGGGATGGTGTAGGGGGTGATGGTGTAGGGGGTGATGGTGTAGGGGGGGATGGTGTAGGGGGTGATGGTGTAGGGGGGATGGTGTAGGGGGTGATGGTGTAGGGGGGATAGTGTAGGGGTGGATGGTGTAGGGGTGATGGTGTAGGGGGTGATGGTGTAGGGGGTGATGGTGTAGGGGGTGACGGTGTAGGGGGTGACGGTGTAGGGGGTGACGGTGTAGGGGGGGATGGTGTAGGGGGGGGATGGTGGAGGGGGGTGATGGTGTAGGGGTGATGGTGTAGGGATGATGGTGTAGGGGTGGATGGTGTAGGGGGGGGATGGTGTAGGGGTGATGGTGTAGGAGTGATGGTGTAGGGGGGATGGTGTAGTGGGGGATGGTGTAGGGGGGGATGGTGTAGGGGTGATGGTGTAGGGGGTGATGGTGTAGGGGTGATGGTGTAGGGGGTGATGGTGTAGGGGGTGATGGTGTAGGGGGGATGGTGTAGGGGTGATGGTGTAGGGGGGGATGGTGGAGGGGTGATGGTGGAGGGGGGATGGTGTAGGGGTGATGGTGTAGGGGTGATGGTGTAGGGGGTGATGGTGTAGGGGGGGATGGTGTAGGGGATGATGGTGTAGGGGTGATGGTGTAGGGGGTGATGGTGTAGGGGGGATGGTGTAGGGGGGATGGTGTAGGGGTGATGGTGTAGGGGGGATGGTGTAGGGGTGATGGTGTCGGGGGGGATGGTGTAGGGGTGATGGTGTAGGGGTGATGGTGTAGGGAGGGATGGTGTAGGGGGGGATGGTGTAGGGGTGATGGTGTAGGGGTGATGGTGGAGGGGGGTGATGGTGTAGTGGGGGATGGTGTAGGGGGTGATGGTGTAGGGGGGGATGGTGTAGGGGGGATGGTGTAGGGGTGATGGTGGTGTAGGGGGGATGGTGTAGGGGGTGATGGTGTAGGGGTGATGGTGTAGGGGGGGATGGTGTAGGGAGGGATGGTGTAGGGGTGATGGTGGTGTAGGGGGGATGGTGTAGGGGGTGATGGTGTAGGGGGGATGGTGTAGGGGGTGATGGTGTAGGGGTGATGGTGGTGTAGGGGGGATGGTGTAGGGGTGATGGTGTAGGGGTGGGGTGTAGGGGGGGGATGGTGTAGGGGGGATGGTGTAGGGGTGATGGTGTAGGGGTGATGGTGTAGGGGTGGGGTGTAGGGGGGTGATGGTGTAGGGGGTGATGGTGTAGGGGGTGATGGTGTAGGGGGGATGGTGTAGGGGTGATGGTGTAGGGGGGGATGGTGGAGGGGTGATGGTGGAGGGGGGATGGTGTAGGGTGATGGTGTAGGGGTGATGGTGTAGGGGGTGATGGTGTAGGGGGGGATGGTGTAGGGGTGATGGTGGTGTAGGGGGGATGGTGTAGGGGGTGATGGTGTAGGGGGTGATGGTGTAGGGGATGGTGATGGTGTAGGATGGTGATGGTGTAGGGGGTGATGGTGTAGGGGTGATGGTGTAGGGGGGATGGTGTAGGGGTGATGGTGTAGGGGGGATGGTGTAGGGGTGGTGGTGTCGGGGGGGATGGTGTAGGGGTGATGGTGTAGGGGTGATGGTGTAGGGAGGGATGGTGTAGGGGGGGATGGTGTAGGGGTGATGGTGTAGGGGTGATGGTGTAGGGGGGTGATGGTGTAGTGGGGGATGGTGTAGGGGGTGATGGTGTAGGGGGGGATGGTGTAGGGGGGATGGTGTAGGGGTGATGGTGTAGGGGGGGATGGTGTAGGGGGTGATGGTGTAGGGGTGATGGTGTAGGGGGGATGGTGTAGGGAGGGATGGTGTAGGGGTGATGGTGGTGTAGGGGGGATGGTGTAGGGGGTGATGGTGTAGGGGGTGATGGTGTAGGGGTGGGGTGTAGGGGGGGGATGGTGTAGGGGGGATGGTGTAGGGGTGATGGTGTAGGGGTGATGGTGTAGGGGTGGGGTGTAGGGGGGTGATGGTGTAGGGGGGATGGTGTAGGGGGTGATGGTGTAGGGGGTGATCATGTAGGTGGGGATGGTGTAGGGGGGGATGGTGTAGGGGGGGATGGTGTAGGGGTGATGGTGTAGGGGGTGATGGTGTAGGGGGTGATCGTGTAGGGGGTGATGGTGTAGGGGTGATGGTGTAGGGGGGGGATGGTGGAGGGGGTGATGGTGTAGGGGGGGGGATGGTGTAGGGGTGATGGTGTAGTGGGGGATGGTGTAGGGGGGCTGGTGTAGGGGGGATGGTGTAGGGGGGATGGTGTAGGGGTGATGGTGTAGGGGGGGGGATGGTGGAGGGGGTGATGGTGGAGGGGGGATGGTGTAGGGGTGATGGTGTAGGGGGGATGGTGTAGGGGTGATGGTGTAGGGGTGATGGTGGTGTAGGGGGGATGGTGTAGGGGGGGATGGTGTAGGGGGGGGGATGGTGTAGGGGGGGGGATGGTGGAGGGGGTGATGGTGTAGGGGGGGGGATGGTGTAGGGGGGATGGTGTAGGGGGTGATGGTGTAGGGGGTGATGGTGTAGGGGGTGATGGTGTAGGGGTGGGGTGTAGGGGGGGGATGGTGTAGGGGGGATGGTGTAGGGGTGATGGTGTAGGGGTGATGGTGTAGGGGTGATGGTGTAGTGGGGGATGGTGTAGGGGTGATGGTGGTGTAGGGGTGATGGTGTAGGGTGATGGTGGTGTAGGGGGTGATGGTGTAGGGGTGATGGTGTAGGGGGGGGATGGTGTAGGGGGGGGGGGGATGGTGTAGTGGGGGATGGTGTAGGGGTGATGGTGGTGTAGGGGGTGATGGTGTAGGGGTGATGGTGGTGTAGGGGGTGATGGTGTAGGGGGGGGATGGTGTAGGGGGGGATGGTGTAGGGGAGATGGTGTAGGGGGGATGGTGTAGGGGTGATGGTGTAGTGGGGGATGGTGTAGGGGGGATGGTGTAGTGGGGGATGGTGTAGGGGTGATGGTGTAGGGGGATGGTGTAGGGGGGGGTGATGGTGTAGGGGGGTGATGGTGTAGGGGGGATGGTGTAGGGGGATGGTGTAGGGGGGATGGTGTAGGGGGTGATGGTGTAGGGGGATGGTGTAGGGGGGTGATGGTGTAGGGGGTGATGGTGTAGGGTGGGGGATGGTGTAGGGGTGATGGTGTAGGGGGGTGATGGTGTAGGGGGGATGGTGTAGTGGGGGATGGTGTAGGGGTGATGGTGTCGGGGGGGATGGTGTAGGGGTGATGGTGTAGGGGGTGATGGTGTAGGGGTGATGGTGTAGGGGGGATGGTGTAGGGGGGATGGTGTAGGGGTGATGGTGTAGGAGGTGATGGTGTAGGGGGTGATGGTGTAGGGGGTGATGGTGTAGGGGTGATGGTGTAGGGGGGGATGGTGTAGGGGGCATGGTGTAGGGGGGATGGTGTAGGGGGGATGGTGTAGGGGGGGGATGGTGTAGGGGGTGGACGGTGTAGGGGTGATGGTGGTGTAGGGGTGATGGTGTAGGGGTGATGGTGTAAAGGTGGGGTGTAGGGGGTGATGGTGTAGGGGGTGATGGTGTAGGGGGTGGACGGTGTAGGGGTGATGGTGTAGTGGGGGTGTGTACCTGGTCCAGGTTGGTGATGTTCTCAGGCTCCTCAGCAGATGGACGTGCACACAGACACACGGACACAATGCGGGCATTTAGACAGACGTGTCTCTGTGTGTCTGTGTGCCTCTGTGTCTCTCTACGCGTGTCTCTGTGTCTCTCTACCCGTGTCTGTGTCTCTCCACCCGTGTCTCTGTGTCTCTCCACCCGTGTCTCTGTGTCTCTCCACCCGTGTCTCTGTGCTTCTCCACCCGTGTCTCTGTCTCTCCACCCGTGTCTCTGCGTCTCTCTACCCGTGTCTCTGTCTCTCCACCCATGTCTCTCCACCTGTGTCTCTGTCTCTCTCCCCATGTCTCTGTGTCTCTCCACCCGTGTCTCTGTGTCTCTCCACCCGTGTCTCTGTGTCTCTCCACCCGTGTCTCTGTGTCTCTCCACCCGTGTCTCTGTGTCTCTTCACCCGTGTCTCTGTGTCTCTCCACCCGTGTCTCTGTCTCTCTCCCCGTGTCTCTGTGTCTCTCCACCCGTGTCTCTGTGTCTCTCCACCCGTGTCTCTGTGTCTCTCCACCCGTGGCTGTCTCTCCACCCGTGTCTCTCTCCCCGTGTCTCTGTGTCTCTCCACCCGTGTGGCTGTGTCTCTCCACCAGTATCTCTGTGTCTCTCCACCCGTGTCTCTGTGTCTCTCCACCCGTGTGTCTGTGTCTCTCCACCCGTGTCTCTGTGTCTCTCCACCCGTGTCTCTGTGTCTCTCCTCGTGTCTCTGTGTCTCTCCACCCGTGTCTCTGTCTCTCTCCCCGTGTCTCTGTCTCTCTCCCCGTGTCTCTCCACCCGTATCTCTGTCTTTCTCCCCATGTCTCTGTATCTCTCCACCCATGTCTCTCTCCCCGTGTCTCTCTCTCCCCGTGTCTCTCCCCGTGTGTCTCTCTCTCCCCCGCGTCACTCTCTCCCCGTGTCTCTCTCTCCCCGTGTCGCTCTCTCCCCGTGTCTCTCTCCACCCGTGTCTCTCTCTCCCCGTGTCTCTCTACCCGTGTCTCTGTCTCTCTCCCCATGTCGCTGTGTCTCTCCACCCGTGTCTCTGTGTCTCTCCACCCGTGTCTCTGTCTCTCCACCTGTCTCTCCACCCGTGTCTCTGTCTCTCTACCCGTGTCTCTGTGTCTCTCCACCCGTGTCTCTCTCTCTCCCCGTGTCTCTCTCTTCCCGTGTCTCTCTCTCTCCCCGTGTCTCTCTCTCTCCCCGTGTCTCTCTCTCCCCGTGTCTCTCTCTCCCCACGTCTCTCTCCCCCCGTGTCTCTCTCCCCCCGTGTCTCTCTCTCTACCCGTGTTTCTCTCTCTCCCCGTGTCTCTCTCTCTGCCCGTGTCTCTCTCTCCCCGTGTCTCTCTCTCCCCGTGTCTCTCTCTCCCCGTGTCTCTCTCTCCCCGTGTCTCTCTCTCCCCGTGTCTCTCTCTCCCCGTGTCTCTCTCTCCCCGTGTCTCTCTCTCCCCGTGTCTCTCTCTCTCCCCGTGTCTCTCTCTCTCCCCGTGTCTCTCTCTCCCCGTGTCTCTCTCTCCCCGTGTCTCTCTCTCCCCGTGTCTCTCTCTCTCCGTGTCTCTCTCTCCCCGTGTGTCTCTCTCCCCCGTGTGTCTCTCTCCCCGTGTCTCTCTCTCCCCGTGTGTCTCTCTCCCCGTGTCTCTCTCTCCCTGTGTCTCTATCTCCCCGTGTTTCTCTCTCCCCGTGTCTCTCTCTCCCCGTGTCTCTTTCTGACCGTGTCTCTCTCCCCATGTCTCTCTCTCTCCCCGTGTCTCTCTCTCTCCCCGTGTCTCTCTCTCCCCGTGTCTCTCTCTCCCCGTGTGTCTCTCTCTCCCCGTGTCTCTCTCTCCTCGTGTCTCTCTCTCTCCCCGTGTCTCTCTCTCTCTGCCCGTGTTTCTCTCTCTCTCTCCCCCTGTCTCTCTCTCCCCGTGTCTCTCTCTCCCCGTGTCTCTCTCTCCCCGTGTCTCTCTCTCCCCGTGTGTCTCTCTCTCCCCGTGTGTCTCTCTCTCCCCGTGTCTCTCTCTCTCCCCGTGTCTCTCTCTCTCCCCGCGTCTCTCTCTCTCTCTCCCCGTGTCTCTCTCTCCCCGTGTCTCTCTCTCCCCGTGTCTCTCTCTCTCCCCGTGTCTCTCTCTCTCCCCGTGTCTCTCTCTCTCCCCGTGTCTCTCTCTCCCCGCGTCTCTCTCTCTTCCCCGTGCCTCTCTCTCTCCCCGTGTCTCTCTCTCCCCGTGTGTCTCTCTCTCCCCATGTCTCTCTCTCTCCCCGTCTCTCTCTCTCTCTCTCTCCCCCTGCCTCTCTCTCCCCCTGCCTCTCTCTCCCCGTGTCTCTCTCTGCCCGTGTCTCTCTCTCTCCCCGTGTGTCTCTCTCTCCCCGTGTTTCTCTCTCTCCCCCGCGTCTCTCTCTCTCTCTCTCCCCGTGTCTCTCCCTCTCTCCCCGTGTCTCTCTCTCTCCCCGTGTCTCTCTCTCTCCCCGTGTCTCTCTCTCTCCCCGTGTGTCTCTCTCTCCCCGTGTCTCTCTCTCTCCCCGTGTCTCTCTCTCCCCGTGTCTCTCTCTCTCTCCCCGTGTCTCTCTCTCCCCGTGTGTCTCTCTCTCCCCATGTCTCTCTCTCTCCCCGTGTCTCTCTCTCTCTCTCCCCCTGCCTCTCTCTCCCCGTGTCTCTCTCTGCCCGTGTCTCTCTCTCTCCCCGTGTGTCTCTCTCTCCCCGTGTCTCTCTCTCTCCCCGTGTGTCTCTCTCTCCCCGTGTCTCTCTCTCTCCCCGGTCTCTCTCTCTCCCCCGTGTCTCTCTCTCCCTCTCTCTCTCCCCGTGTCTCTCTCTCTCCCCGTGTCTCTCTCTCTCTCTCTCTCTCCCCCTGCCTCTCTCTCCCCGTGTCTCTCTCTCTCCCCGTGTCTCTCTCTCTCCCCGTGTGTCTCTCTCTCCCCGTGTCTCTCTCTCTCTCTCCCCGTGTCTCTCTCTCTCTCCCCGTGTCTCTCTCTCTCCCCGTGTGTCTCTCTCTCCCCGCGTCTCTCTCTCTCTCTCCCCGTGTCTCTCTCTCTCTCCCCGTGTCTCTCTCTCTCCCCGTGTGTCTCTCTCTCCCCGCGTCTCTCTCTCTCTCTCTCTCTCCCCGTGTGTCTCTCTCTCCCCGTGTCTCTCTCTCTCCCCGTGTCTCTCTCTCTCTCTCTCCCCCTGCCTCTCTCTCCCCGTGTGTCTCTCTCTCCCCGTGTCTCTCTCTCTCTCCCCGTGTCTCTCTCTCTCCCCGCGTCTCTCTCTCTCTCTCCCCATGTCCCTCTCTCTCCCCGTGTCTCTCTTTCTCTCCCCGTGTCTCTCTCTCTCCCCGCGTCTCTCTCTCTCTCTCTCCCCATGCCTCTCTCTCTCCCCGTGTGTCTCTCTCTCTCCCCATGCCTCTCTCTCTCCCCATGTCCCTCTCTCTCCCCCGTGTCTCTCTCTCTCCCCGTGTCTCTCTACCTGGATCTCTGTGCCGCCGGTGCCGGCGACGATGTTCTCCGCTTCCTCAGGGATATGCTCTCCGATGACGATGTTGTGGTTAGAGAAAATCGTCTCCATCAGCTCCTCCAGGTTGTCCAGACAGCGGTTCCACATGTCCTGCTACTCACCAACCACAAACACCAACAACCACAACCACCACCACAATCACCACCAACACCACAATTACTACAACCACAAACACCACAATTACTACCACCACCACCACAATTACTACAACCACAACCACCACAATCACTACCACAAACACCACAATCACTACAACAAACACCACAATCACCACCACCACAATTACCACAACCACCACCACCACAATCACTACCACAAACACCACAATCACTACCACAACCATCACCACCACAATTACTACAACCACCACAATTACTACAACCACAACCACCACAATTACTACAACCACCACCACAATTACTACAACCACAAACACCACAATTACTACCACCACCACCACAATTACTACAACCACAACCACCACAATCACTACCACTACCACCACAATCACTACCACAACCACCAACACCACAATTACTACAACCACAAACACCACAATAACTACAACCACCACCACAATTACTACAACCACAAACACCACAATTACTACCACCACCACCACAATTACTACCACAAACACCACAATCACTACCACAACCACAACCACCACAATCACCACCACCACAATCACTACAACCACAAACACCACAATTACTACCACCACCACCACCACAACTACTACCACAAACACCACAATAACTACAACCACCACCACAATTACTACAACCACAAACACCACAATTACTACAATCACCACCACCACAATTACTACCACAACCACCACCACAATTACTACCACAAACACCACCACCACAATCACTACCACAAACACCACCACCACAATCACTACCACAACCACCACCACCACAATCACTACCACAACCACCACCACAGTTACTACCACAAACACTACAGCCACCACCACCACAATCACTACCACAAACACCACCACCACAATCACTACCACAACCACCACCACCACAATCACTACCACAACCACCACCACAGTTACTACCACAAACACTACAGCCACCACCACCACAATTACTACCACAAACACCACAGCCACCACCACCACAATTACTACCACAAACACCACTACAATTACTACAACCACCACAATTACTACAACCACCACCACCACAATCACTACCACCACCACCACAATCACAACAATAACTACAACCACCACCACAATCACTACCACAAACACCACAATCACTACAACCACCACCACCACAATTACTACCACAAACACCACAGCCACCACCACCACAATTACTACCACAAACACCACAGCCACCACCACCACCACAATTACTACCACAAACACCACTACAATTACTACAACCACCACCACCACAATCACTACCACAACCACCACCACAATCACTACCACAAACACCACCACAATCACTATCACAACCACCACCACAATTACTACACCCACAACCACCACCACAATCACTACCACAAACACCACAATTACTACCACAACCACCACCACAATCACCACCACAACACCACCACAATTACTACCACAACCACCACAATCACTACCACAACCACCACAATCACTAACACAACCACCACCACCACAATCACTACCACAACCACCACCACCACAATTACTACCACAATCACCACCACAATTACTACCACAAACACCACAATAACTGCTCTCTGCGGTGAGTCTGTAGTGAGTGAGTCTGTAGTGAGTCTGTAGTGAGTCTGTAGTGAGTGAGTCTGTAGTGAGTGAGTCTGTAGTGAGTCTGTAGTGAGTGAGTCTGTAGTGAGTCTGTAGTGAGTCTGTAGTGAGTGAGTCTGTAGTGAGTCTGTAGTGAGTCTGTAGTGAGTCTGTAGTGAGTCTGTAGTGAGTGAGTCTGTAGTGAGTGAGTCTGTAGTGAGTCTGTAGTGAGTGAGTCTGTAGTGAGTCTGTAGTGAGTGAGTCTGTAGTGAGTCTGTAGTGAGTGAGTCTGTGGTGAGTGAGTCTGTAGTGAGTCTGTAGTGAGTGAGTCTGTAGTGAGTCTGTAGTGAGTGTGTAGTGAGTCTGTAGTGAGTCTGTAGTGAGTGAGTCTGTAGTGAGTCTGTAGTGAGTCTGTAGTGAGTGAGTCTGTAGTGAGTCTGTAGTGAGTCTGTAGTGAGTGAGTCTGTAGTGAGCGAGTCTGTGGTGAGTCTGTAGTGAGTCTGTAGTGAGTCTATAGTGAGTCTGTAGTGAGTCTGTAGTGAGTGTGTAGTGAGTCTGTAGTGAGTGAGTCTGTAGTGAGTGAGTCTGTAGTGAGTGAGTCTGTAGTGAGTGAGTCTGTAGTGAGTCTGTAGTGAGTGAGTCTGTAGTGAGTGAGTCTGTAGTGAGTCTGTAGTGAGTGAGTCTGTAGTGAGTGAGTCTGTAGTGAGTGAGTCTATAGTGAGTCTGTAGTGAGTCTGTAGTGAGTGAGTCTGTAGTGAGTCTGCAGTGAGTCTGTAGTGAGTCTGTAGTGAGTGAGTCTGTAGTGAGTCTGTAGTGAGTGAGTCTGTAGTGAGTCTGTAGTGAGTGAGTCTGTAGTGAGTCTGTAGTGAGTCTGTAGTGAGTGAGTCTGTAGTGAGTCTGTAGTGAGTGAGTCTGTAGTGAGTCTGTAGTGAGTCTGTAGTGAGTGAGTCTGTAGTGAGCGAGTCTGTGGTGAGTCTGTAGTGAGTCTGTAGTGAGTCTATAGTGAGTCTGTAGTGAGTCTGTAGTGAGTGTGTAGTGAGTCTGTAGTGAGTGAGTCTGTAGTGAGTCTGTAGTGAGTGAGTCTGTAGTGAGTGAGTCTATAGTGAGTCTGTAGTGAGTCTGTAGTGAGTGAGTCTGTAGTGAGTCTGCAGTGAGTCTGTAGTGAGTCTGTAGTGAGTGAGTCTGTAGTGAGTCTGTAGTGAGTCTGTAGTGAGTCTGTAGTGAGTGAGTCTGTAGTGAGTCTGTAGTGAGTCTGTAGTGAGTGAGTCTGTAGTGAGTCTGTAGTGAGTGAGTCTGTAGTGAGTCTGTAGTGAGTGAGTCTGTGGTGAGTGAGTCTGTAGTGAGTCTATAGTGAGTCTGTAGTGAGTGAGTCTGTAGTGAGTCTGTAGTGAGTGAGTGTGTAGTGAGTCTGTAGTGAGTGAGTCTGTAGTGAGTGAGTCTGTAGTGAGTGAGTCTGTAGTGAGTCTGTAGTGAGTGAGTCTGTAGTGAGTGAGTCTATAGTGAGTCTGTAGTGAGTCTGTAGTGAGTGAGTCTGTAGTGAGTCTGCAGTGAGTCTGTAGTGAGTCTGTAGTGAGTCTGTAGTGAGTCTGTAGTGAGTGAGTCTGTAGTGAGTGAGTCTGTAGTGAGTCTGTAGTGAGTGAGTCTGTAGTGAGTCTGTAGTGAGTCTGTAGTGAGTGAGTCTGTAGTGAGTCTGTAGTGAGTGAGTCTGTAGTGAGTCTGTAGTGAGTGAGTCTGTAGTGAGTCTGTAGTGAGTGAGTCTGTAGTGAGTCTGTAGTGAGTCTGTAGTGAGTGAGTCTGTAGTGAGTCTGTAGTGAGTCTGTAGTGAGTCTGTAGTGAGTGAGTCTGTAGTGAGTGTGTAGTCAGTCTGTGGTGAGTCTGTAGTGAGTGAGTGTAGTGAGTCTGTAGTGAGTGAGTCTGTAGTGAGTCTGTAGTGAGTGAGTCTGTAGTGAGTCTGTAGTGAGTGAGTCTGTAGTGAGTCTGTAGTGAGTGTGTAGTGAGTCTGTAGTGAGTCTGTAGTGAGTCTGTAGTGAGTGAGTCTGTAGTGAGTCTGTAGTAAGTCTGTAGTGAGTGAGTCTGTAGTGAGTCTGTAGTGAGTGAGTCTGTAGTGAGTCTGTAGTGAGTCTGTAGTGAGTGAGTCTGTAGTGAGTCTGTAGTGAGTGAGTCTATAGTGAGTCTGTAGTGAGTGTGTAGTGAGTCTGTAGTGAGTCTGTAGTGAGTCTGTAGTGAGTCTGTAGTCTGTAGTGAGTCTGTAGTGAGTCTGTAGTGAGTGAGTCTGTAGTGAGTCTGTAGTGAGTCTGTAGTGAGTGAGTCTCTAGTGAGTCTATAGTGAGTCTGTAGTAAGTGAGTCTGTAGTGAGTCTGTAGTGAGTCTGTAGTGAGTCTGTAGTGAGTGAGTCTGTAGTGAGTCTGTAGTGAGTCTATAGTGAGTCTGTAGTGAGTGAGTCTGTAGTGAGTGAGTCTCTAGTGAGTCTGCAGTGAGTCTGTAGTGAATCTGTAGTGAGTCTGTGGTGAATCTGTAGTGAGTCTGTAGTGAATCTGTAGTGAGTCTGTGGTGAGTCTGTGGTGAGTCTACAGAACCTTCATGCATGTAGCCAGACTGTTGCTATAGTTGAAGAAGGCTGTAATGAGGCTAAACTTGATCTTGACAAGCAACGCAGAGCCCAGATTGTGCTGCTCAGAGATGTTTGCCAGCTCCGTCAGCAGCTCGATCTGACCCGCACTGCAACCACAACAACCACAACAACCACCACAACCACCATCACAACAACAATCAGTAGCACGCACCACCATCACAACCACAATCAGTACCACCACCACCACGACCATCATCTTCACAGCATCCGTAACAACTACAGACAGCTCCGTCAGCAGCTCGATCTGACCCGCACTGCAACCACAACAACAACCACCACAACCACCATCACAACAACAATCAGTAGCACGCACCACCATCACAACCACAATCAGTACCACCACCACTATCATCGCCATCATCATCTTCACAGCATCCGTAACAACTACAGACAGCTCCGTCAGCAGCTCCATCTGACCCGCGCTGCAACAACAACCACCACCACCACCACCACAACCACCACCACCACAACAACCATAATCACCACCATCATCACAACAACAATCAGTACCACCACCACTATCATCGCCATCATCATCTTCACAGCATCCGTAACAACTACAGACAGCTCCGTCAGCAGCTCCATCTGACCCGCGCTGTAACAACAACCACCACCACCACAACCATCATAACAACAATCACCACCATCATCACAACAACAATCAGTACCACCACCATCATCACAACAACAATATCAGTACCACCACCACCACAACAACCACAACAACCACCACCACAACAACCACAGACAGCTCAGTCGTAGTGGTTGTTGTAGTTGTGATGTGTGTGGTGGTGGTGGTAGTAGTGGTGGTTGTAGTTGTGGTGGTTTAATAGGTGGTGGTAGATGTAGTGGTGGTAGTTGTAGTGGTGGTAGTTGTAGTGGTGGTAGTTGTAGTGGTCTTGGTGGTTATAGTCGTTGTTGTAGTGGTGGTTATAGTGGTTGTTGTAGTTGTGGTGGTTGTAGTGGTAGTTGTAGTGGTTGTGGTGGTTGTAGTGGTAGTGGTTGTTGTAGTTGTGGTGGTTGTAGTGGTAGTGGTTGTTGTAGTTGTGGTGGTTGTAGTGATGTGGTAGTGGTTGTTGTAGTTGTGGTGGTTGTAGTGGTAGTGGTTGTTGTAGTTGTGGTGGTTGTAGTGGTAGTGGTTGTTGTAGTTGTGGTGGTTGTAGTGGCAGTTGTTGTAGTGGTTGTTGTGGTGGTTTTAGTGGTAGTGCTTGTTGTAGTTGTAGTTGTGGTGGTTGTAGTGATAGTGGTTGTAGTGGTGGTGGTTGTTGTAGTTGTGGTGGTTGCAGTGGTAGTTGTTGTAGTGGTAGTGGTTGTTGTAGTTGTGGTGGTTGCAGTGGTATTTGTTGTAGTGGTAGTGGTTGTTGTAGTGGTTGTGGTTGTTGTAGTGGTTGTGGTTGTTGTAGTGGTTGCTGTAGTTGTGGTGGTTGTAGTTGTGGTGGTTGTAGTTGTGGTGGTTGTAGTTGTGGTGGTTGGTAGTTGTGGTGGTCTTGGTGGTTATGGTGGGTTGTTGTGTTGGCTGTGTTGGTTGTGGTGGTGGTAGTTTTGGTGGTGGTTGTGGTGGTTTTGGTTGTGGTGGTTGTTGTGGTGGCTGTGTTGGCTGTGTTGGTTATGGTGGTGGTAGTTTTGGTGGTGGTGGTGGTAGTTTTGGTGGTGGTTGCGGTTGTGGTGGTGGTGGTTGTTGTGGTGGTTGTGTTGGCTGTGTTGGTTGTGGTGGTGGTATTTTTGGTGGTGGTTGTGGTGGTTGTAGTTGTGGTGGTGGTAGTTGTGGTGGTTGTGGTGGTTGTTGTTAATGTTGTGGTGGTTGTGGTGGTTGTTGTAGTTGTGGTGGTTGTGGTGGTGGTTGTGGTTGTAGTTGTGGTGGTTGTAGTTGTGGTGGTTGTAGTTGTGGTGGTTGTGGTAGTTGTGGTAGTTGTGGTGGTTGTGGTGGTGGTTGTGGTGGTGGTTGTTGTGGTGGTTGTGGTGGTGGTTGTGGTGGTAGTTGTTGTGGTGGTTGTGGTGGTGGTTGTTGTGGTGGTTGTGGTTGTGGTGGTGGTTGTGGTGGTGGTGGTTGTGGTGGTGGTTGTGGTGGTGGTTGTGGTAGTTTTGGTGGTGGTTGTGGTGGTGGTAGTTGTGGTGGTGGTTGTGGTGGTAGTTGTTGTGGTGGTGGTAGTTGTGGTGGTGGTTGTGGTGGTAGTTGTTGTGGTGGTTGTAGTGGTGGTGGTGGTTGTGGTGGTGGTAGTTGTGGTGGTTGTTGAAGTTGTTGTGGTGGTTGTGGTGGTAGTGGTTGTTGTAGTTGTGGTGGTTGTTGTAGTTGTGGTGGTGGTGGTTGGTTGTTGTTGTGGTTGTTGTGGTCGTGGTAGTTGTTGTTGTGGTTGTTGTTGTTGTGGTGGTTGTTGTAGTTGTGGTGGTGGTTGTTGTAGTGGTTGTTGTAGTTGTGGTGGTTGTTGTAGTTGTGGTGGTGGTTGTTGTAGTTGTTGTTGTGGTTGTAGTGGTTGTTGTAGTTGTGGTGGTTGTTGTTGTTGTGGTTGTAGTTGTGGTGCTTGTTGTGGTTGCTGTTGTTGTGGTTGTTGTTGTAGTTGTTGTTGTTGTAGTTGTGGTTGTTGTTGTTGTGGTTGTTGTGGTAGATGTTGTGGTGGTTGTGGTTGTTGTTGTGGTTGTTGTGGTAGTTGCTGTAGTTGTTGTTGTTGTGGTTGCTGTGGTTGTTGTAGTTGTTGTGGTAGTTGTTGTTGTTGTAGCAGTTGTTGTTGTTGTTGTTGTAGTAGTTGTTGTTGTAGTTGTGGTTGGTGTGGTAGTTGTTGTGGTTGTTGTTGTTGTTGTTAATGTTGTTGTGGTTGTTGTTGTGGTTGTTAATGTTGTTGTTGTAGTAGTTGTTGTTGTAGTTGTGATTGTTGTGGTAGTTGTTGTGGTAGTTGTTGTGGTTGTTGTAGTGGTTGTTGTTGTAGTTGTGGTTGTTGTGGTAGTTGTTGTGGTTGTAGTTGTAGTTGTTGTTGTAGTTGTTGTTGTGGTGGTTGTTGTTGTGGTTGTTGTTGTGGTTGTTGTTGTGGTTGTTGTTGTGGTTGTTGTTGTGGTTGTTAATGTTGTTGTTGTAGTTGTGGTGGTTGTGGTTGTTGTAGTTGTGGTAGTTGTGGTTGTTGTTGTTGTGGTTGTTGTAGTTGTGGTTGTTGTGGTAGTTGTTGTGGTTGTTGTTGTGGTTGTTGTTGTTGTGGTGGTTGTTAATGTTGTTGTTGTTGTAGTAGTTGTTGTTGTAGTTGTGGTTGTTGTGGTAGTTGTTGTGGTAGTTGTTGTGGTTGTTGTAGTGGTTGTTGTTGTAGTAGTTGTTGTTGTAGTTGTGGTTGTTGTGGTAGTTGTTGTGGTAGTTGTTGTGGTTGTTGTTGTAGTTGTTGTAGTTGTTGTGGTTGTTGTTGTGGTTGTTGTTGTGGTTGTTGTGGTTGTTGTTGTGGTTGTTGTTGTGGTTGTTAATGTTGTTGTAGTTGTGGTGGTTGTGGTTGTTGTGGTTGTTGTTGTGGTTGTTGTTGTTGTAGCGGTGGTAGTTGTGGTTGTTGTGGTTGTTGTTGTGGTTGTTGTAGTTGTTGTAGTTGTGGTTGTTGTGGTAGTTGTTGTGGTTGTTGTGGTTGTTGTTGTGGTGGTTGTTAATGTTGTTGTAGTTGTTATTGTTGTAGTTGTGGTTGTTGTTGTTGTTGTGGTTGTTGTGGTGGTAGTTGTAGTTGTTGTGGTGGTTGTTGTAGTTGTTGTTGTTGTGGTGGTGGTTGTGGTTGTTGATGTTGTTAATGTTGTAGTTGTTGTTGTAGTTGTTGTTGTGGTTGTGGTTGTTATGTTGTTGTTGTTGTTGCTTCTCACCGGTCGGTTCCCTTCTTGCCCCGTGCCTGCAGAATCTCGTTCAGCTTCTTCACAACCACGGCGTGGGTGATCTCTGTGCCTTTAGCAAACATCTTGGGTTTCTCCTGTACCACAACAACATTAACAACAACATTAACAACAATAACAACAACCACCACAACCATCACCACCACCACCACGGCGTGGGTGATCTCTGTGCCTTTAGCAAACATCTTGGGTTTCTCCTGTACCACAACAACATTAACAACATTAACAACCACCACAACATTAACAACCACAACCACCACCACAACCATCACCACCACCACCACCACCACGGCGTGGGTGATCTCTGTGCCTTTAGCAAACATCTTGGGTTTCTCCTGTACCACAACAACACCCACAACAACCACCACAACATTAACAACAACCACCACAACCATCACCACCACCACCACGGCGTGGGTGATCTCTGTGCCTTTAGCAAACATCTTGGGTTTCTCCTGCAACACCACAACATTAACAACCACAACAACATTAACAACATTAACAACCACCACAACATTAACAACCACAACAACCACCATCACCACCATCACCACCACCACCACCACGGCGTGGGTGATCTCTGTGCCTTTAGCAAACATCTTGGGCTTCTCCTGTAACACAACATTAACAACAACATTAACAACCACCACAACATTCACAACAACCACCACAACAACCATCACCACCACGGCGTGGGTGATCTCTGTGCCTTTAGCAAACATCTTGGGTTTCTCCTGTACCACAACACCCACAACAACCACCACAACATTAACAACAACCACCACAACCATCATCACCACCACCACGGCGTGGGTGATCTCTGTGCCTTTAGCAAACATCTTGGGCTTCTCCTGTAACACCACAACAACATTAACAACAACATTAACAACCACAACAACATTAACAACCACCACAACAACCACAACAACCACCACAACCACCACAATCGTCACGGTGATAGTCGTTGTTGTTGTTGTGATCGTCATGGTGATAGTCGTGGTTGTTGTTGTTGTGATCGTCATGGTGATAGTCATGGTTGTTGTTGTTGTGATCGTCATGGTGATAGTCGTGGTTGTTGTTGTTGTGATCGTCATGGTGATAGTCATGGTTGTTGTTGTTGTGATCGTCATGGTGATAGTCGTGGTTGTTGTTGTTGTGATCGTCATGGTGATAGTCATGGTTGTTGTTGTTGTGATCGTCATGGTGATCGTCACGGTTGTTGTTGTTGTGATCGTCATGGTGATAGTCGTGGTTGTTGTTGTTGTGATCGTCATGGTTGTTGTTGTGATCATCACGGTGATCATCACGGTTGTTGTTGTTGTGATCGTCATGGTGATAGTCGTGGTTGTTGTTGTTGTGATCGTCATGGTGATAGTCATGGTTGTTGTTGTTGTTGTGATCGTCATGGTGATAGTCGTGGTTGTTGTTGTTGTGATCGTCATGGTGATAGTCATGGTTGTTGTTGTTGTGATCGTCATGGTGACAGTCATGGTTGTTATTGTTGTGATCGTCATGGTGATAGTCGTGGTTGTTGTTGTTGTTATCGTCATGGTGATAGTCGTAGTTGTTGTTGTTGTGATCGTCATGGTGATCATCACGGTTGTTGTTGTTGTGATCGTCATGGTGACAGTCGTGGTTGTTGTTGTTGTTGTGATCGTCATGGTGATCATCACGGTTGTTGTTGTTGTGATCGTCACGGTTGTTGTTGTTGTGATCGTCATGGTGATAGTCGTTGTTGTTGTGATCGTCATGGTGATAGTCGTGGTGATAGTCATGGTTGTTGTTGTGATCGTCATGGTGATAGTCATGGTTGTTGTTGTTGTGATCGTCATAGTGATAGTCGTGGTTGTTGTTGTTGTGATCGTCATGGTGATAGTCATGGTTGTTGATGTTGTTGTGATCGTCATGGTGATAGTCGTGGTTGTTGTTGTTGTGATCGTCATGGTGATAGTCGTGGTTGTTGTTGTGATCGTCATGGTGATAGTCATGGTTGTTGTGATCGTCACGGTGATAGTCATGGTTGTTGTTGTTGTTGTGATCGTCATGGTGATAGTCGTGGTTGTTGTTGTTGTGATCGTCATGGTGATAGTCATGGTTGTTGTTGTTGTGATCGTCATGGCGATCATCACGGTTGTTGTTGTGATCGTCATGGTGATAGTCGTGGCTGTTGTTGTTGTGATCGTCATGGTGATAGTCGTGGTTGTTGTTGTGATCGTCATGGTGATCATCACGGTGATCGTCACGGTTGTTGTCACGGCGATCGCCACGGTTGTTGTTGTTGTGATCGTCACGGTGATCATCACGGTTGTTGTTGTTGTGATCGTCATGGTGATAGTCGTGGTTGTTGTTGTTGTTGTGATCGTCATGGTGATAGTCATGGTTGTTGTTGTTGTTGTGATCGTCATGGTGATAGTCGTGGTTGTTGTTGTTGTGATCGTCATGGTTGTTGTTGTGATCATCACGGTGATCATCACGGTTGTTGTTGTTGTGATCGTCATGGTGATAGTCGTGGTTGTTGTTGTTGTGATCGTCATGGTGATAGTCATGGTTGTTGTTGTTGTTGTGATCGTCATGGTGATAGTCGTGGTTGTTGTTGTTGTGATCGTCATGGTGATAGTCGTGGTTGTTGTTGTTGTGATCGTCATGGTGATAGTCGTGGTTGTTGTTGTTGTTGTGATCGTCATGGTGATAGTTGTGGTGGTTGTTGTTGTGATCGTCATGGTGATAGTCGTGGTTGTTGTTGTGATCGTCATGGTGATCATCACGGTTGTTGTTGTTGTTGTTATCGTCATGGTGATAGTCGTGGTTGTTGTTGTTGTTGTGATCGTCATGGTGATAGTCATGGTTGTTGTTGTTGTTGTGATCGTCATGGTGATAGTCGTGGTTGTTGTTGTTGTGATCGTCATGGTTGTTGTTGTGATCATCACGGTTGTTGTTGTTGTGATCGTCATGGTGATCATCACGGTTGTTGTTGTTGTGATCGTCATGGTGATAGTCGTGGTTGTTGTTGTTGTGATCGTCATGGTGATAGTCATGGTTGTTGTTGTTGTTGTGATCGTCATGGTGATAGTTGTGGTGGTTGTTGTTGTGATCGTCATGGTGATAGTCGTGGTTGTTGTTGTTGTGATCGTCATGGTGATCATCACGGTTGTTGTTGTGATCGTCACGGCGATCGCCACGGTTGTTGTTGTTGTGATCGTCACGGTGATAGTCATGGTTGTTGTTGTGATAGTCATGGTGATCGTCACGGTGATCGTCACGGTTGTTGTTGTCATGGTGATAGTCATGGTTGTTGTTGTTGTGATCGTCATGGCGATCGCCACGGTTGTTGTTGTTGTGATCGTCACGGTGATCGTCACGGTGATAGTCGTGGTGGTTGTTGTTGTTGTGATCGTCATGGCGATCGCCACGGTTGTTGTTGTTGTGATCGTCACGGTGATCGTCACGGTTGTTGTTGTTGTGATCGTCACGGTGATAGTCATGGTTGTTGTTGTTGTTGTGATCGTCACGGTGATCGTCATGGTTGTTGTTGTGATCGTCATGGTGATAGTCACGGTTGTTGTTGTTGTGATCGTCACGGTGATCGTCACGGTTGTTGTTGTTGTGATCGTCATGGTGATAGTCATGGTTGTTGTTGTTGTGATCGTCACGGTGATCGTCATGGTTGTTGTTGTCATGGTGATAGTTGTGGTTGTTGTTGTGATCGTCATGGTGATAGTTGTGGTTGTTGCTGTGATCGTCATGGTGATAGTCATGGTTGTTGTTGTTGTGATCGTCACGGTTGTTGTCATGGCGATCGTCATGGTTGTTGTTGTTGTTGTGATCGTCATGGCGATCGCTGCTGCTGCGATGTTGCTGCTGGTGCGGTTACCATGGGAACGCCCCCCTTGACCTGCTCCCAGCCCCCCTCGTCGCCCCCGCCGGCCCCCGGCCCCTCCCCTTCATCCCCCGGGCCCCCCTCCTCCTCGTCCCGGTGGTGACGAGGTCGCTTCTCTTTCACCTTCTTCTTTAGACTCTTCTTATCTCCATCCCTGGTGAGCAAGTGGTGAGTGAGTGGTGAGTGGTGAGTGGTGGTGGTGGTGGTGAGTTGTGGTGAGTGGTGAGGTCGCTTCTCTTTCACCTTCTTCTTTAGACTCTTCTTATCTCCATCCCTGGTGAGGATGTGGTGAGGAAGTGGTGAGTGGTGAGTGGTGGTGGTGGTGTGTGGTGAGTGGTGGTGAGTGGTGAGGTCGCTTCTCTTTCACCTTCTTCTTTAGACTCTTCTTATCTCCATCCCTGGTGAGCAAGTGGTGAGTGGTGAGTGAGTGGTGAGTGAGTGGTGAGTGAGTGGTGAGTGGTGGTGAGTTGTGGTGAGTGGTGAGGTCGCTTCTCTTTCACCTTCTTCTTCAGACTCTTCTTATCTCCATCCCTGGTGAGCAAGTGGTGAGTGGTGAGTGGTGGTGAGTGGTGAGTGAGTGGTGAGTCAGTGGTGAGTGGTGAGGTCGCTTCTCTTTCACCATCTTCTTTAGACTCTTCTTATCTCCATCCCTGGTGAGGAGGTGGTGAGGAAGTGGTGAGTGGTGAGTGGTGAGTGAGTGAGTGAGTGGTGAGTGAGTGGTGAGTGGTGGTGAGTGGTGAGTGGTGAGGTCGCTTCTCTTTCACCTTCTTCTTTAGACTCTTCTTATCTCCATCCCTGGTGAGGAGGTGGTGAGTGGTGAGTGGTGGTGTGTGGTGAGTGGTGAGGTCGCTTCTCTTTCACCTTCTTCTTTAGACTCTTCTTATCTCCATCCCTGGTGAGGAGGTGGTGAGTGAGTGGTGAGTGGTGAGGAGTGGTGAGTAGTGGTGGTGGTGGTGAGTGGTGGTGAGTAGTGGTGAGTGGTGAGGTCGCTTCTCTTTCACCTTCTTCTTCAGACTCTTCTTATCTCCATCCCTGGTGAGCAAGTGGTGAGTGGTGAGTGAGTGGTGAGTGAGTGGTGAGTGGTGGTGAGTGGTGACGAGGTCGCTTCTCTTCCACCTTCTTCTTCAGACTCTTCTTATCTCCATCCCTGGTGAGCAAGTGGTGAGTGGTGAGTGAGTGGTGGTGAGTGGTGAGTGGTGGTGAGGTCGTTTCTCTTTCACCTTCTTCTTCAGACTCTTCTTATCTCCATCCCTGGTGAGCAAGTGGTGAGTGGTGGTGAGTGGTGAGGAGTGGTGAGTGGTGGTGAGTGGTGAGGTCGCTTCTCTTTCACCTTCTTCTTCAGACTCTTCTTATCTCCATCCCTGGTGAGGAGGTGGTGAGGAAGTGGTGAGTGGTGAGTGAGTGGTGGTGAGTGTGTAGTGGTGAGTGAGTGGTGAGTGGTGGTGAGTGGTGAGGTCGCTTCTCTTTCACCTTCTTCTTCAGACTCTTCTTATCTCCATCCCTGGTGAGCAAGTGGTGAGTGGTGGTGGTGAGTGGTGAGTGTGTGGTGGTGGTGAGTGGTGAGGTCGTTTCTCCTTCACCTCCTTCTTCAGACTCTTCTTATCTCCATCCCTGGTGAGCAAGTGGTGAGTGGTGGTGAGTGGTGAGTGGTGGTGAGTGGTGAGTGAGTGGTGAGTGGTGAGGTCGCTTCTCCTTCACCTCCTTCTTTAGACTCTTCTTATCTCCATCCCTAGTGAGCAAGTGGTGAGTGGTGAGTGAGTGGTGAGTGAGTGGTGAGTGAGTGGTGAGTGAGTGGTGAGTGGTGGTGAGTGGTGGTGAGTGGTGAGGTCGCTTCTCCTTCACCTTCTTCTTTAGACTCTTCTTATCTCCATCCCTGGTGAGCGAGCGGTGAGCGAGTGGTGGTGAGGGAGTGGTGAGTGAGTGGTGAGTGAGTGGTGGTGAGTGGTGGTGAGTGGTGAGTGGTGGTGAGTGAGTGGTGAGTGAGTGGTGAGTGGTGAGGTCGCTTCTCCTTCACCTCCTTCTTTAGACTCTTCTTATCTCCATCCCTGGTGAGCGAGCGGTGAGCGAGTGGTGGTGAGGTGGTGGTGGTGAGCGAGTGGTGAGTGGTGAGCGGGTGGTGAGTGGTGAGGAGACACTCACCGCTTGAGGAACCTCTCTCGGCCATGGTCATGGCTGCCGTGCCCTCACCGTCCGATGATTCAGAGTTTACTCTCCGCTCCGAGTCTCTGTGAGCGAGTGGTGGTGGTGAGCGGGTGGTGAGTGGTGAGGAGACACTCACCGCTTGAGGAACCTCTCGGCCATGGTCATGGCTGCCGTGCCCTCTCCGTCCGATGATTCAGAGTTTACTCTCCGCTCCGAGTCGCTGTGAGCGAGTGGTGGTGCTGAGCGAGTGGTGGTGGTGAGCGAGTGGTGAGCAAGTGGTGAGCGGGTGGTGAGTGGTGAGGAGACACTCACCGCTTGAGGAACCTCTCGGCCATGGTCATGGCTGCCGTTCCCTCACCGTCCGATGATTCAGAGTTTACTCTCCGCTCCGAGTCTCTGTGAGCGAGTGGTGGTGGTGAGCGAGTGGTGGTGAGCGGGTGGTGGTGAGCGGGTGGTGAGTGGTGAGGAGACACTCACCGCTTGAGGAACCTCTCGGCCATGGTCATGGCTGCCGTTCCCTCTCCGTCCGATGATTCAGAGTTTACTCTCCGCTCCGAGTCTCTGTGAGCGAGTGGTGGTGGTGGTGAGCGAGTGGTGGTGAGCAAGTGGTGAGCGGGTGGTGAGTGGTGAGGAGACACTCACCGCTTGAGGAACCTCTCGGCCATGGTCATGGCTGCCGTTCCCTCACCGTCCGATGATTCAGAGTTTACTCTCCGCTCCGAGTCGCTGTGAGCGAGTGGTGGTGGTGGTGGTGAGCGAGTGGTGGTGAGCGGGTGGTGGTGAGCGGGTGGTGAGTGGTGAGGAGACACTCACCGCTTGAGGAACCTCTCGGCCATGGTCATGGCTGCCGTGCCCTCACCGTCCGATGATTCAGAGTCGCTCTCTGCGTCTGATGAGCCCCAATCGCCATCGTCAGAATCCGAGTCGTCATCCTCACCGTCGCCCTGCGAGCATCCACAGCCGCTCACCGTTAACACCACTCACCACCGCTCACCACCACTCACCACCTCCACTCACCATTGTTACACCCTCACCACCACCACCACTCACCACCACTCACCACTGTTACACCCTCACCACCACCACTGTTACACACTCACCACCACTCACCACCACTCACCACCACTCACCACCACTCACCAACCACCGCTCACCACCACTCACCACCACTCACCACCACTCACCACGACTCACCACTGTTACACACTCACCACCACCACTGTTACACACTCACCACCGCTCACCACCACTCACCACCCCTCACCACCACTCACCACCACCACTCACCACCACTCACCACCGTTACACCCTCACCACCACTCACCACCACTCACCACCACTCACCACCACTCACCATTGTTACACCCTCACCACCACTCACCATTGTTACACCCTCACCACCACTCACCATTGTTACACCCTCACCACCACTCACCACTGTTACACCCTCACCACCCTCACCACCCTCACCACCACTCACCACTGTTACACCCTCACCACCCTCACCATTGTTACACCCTCACCACCACTCACCACCCTCACCATTGTTACACCCTCACCACCACTCACCACCCTCACCATTGTTACACCCTCACCACCCTCACCACCCTCACCACCACTCACCACCACTCACCACTGTTACACCCTCACCACCCTCACCACCCTCACCACCCTCACCACCACTCACCACTGTTACACCCTCACCACCCTCACCACCCTCACCACCACTCACCACTGTTACACCCTCACCAGCACTCACCACCACCACCACTCACCACCACTCACCACCCTCACCACTGTTACACCCTCACCACCGCTCACCACCACTCACCACTGCTACACACTCACCACCACTCACTCACCACCACCACTCACCACCACTCACCACTGTTACACCCTCACCACCACTCACCACCCTCACCACTGTTACACCCTCACCACCACTCACCACCGTTACACCCTCACCACCCTCACCACCCTCACCATTGTTACACCCTCACCACCACTCACCACCCTCACCATTGTTACACCCTCACCACCCTCACCACCACTCACCACCACTCACCACTGTTACACCCTCACCACCACTCACCACCACTCACCACCCTCACCATTGTTACACCCTCACCACCCTCACCACCACTCACCACCACTCACCACTGTTACACCCTCACCACCACCACCACTCACCACCACCGTTACACCCTCACCACCACTCACCATTGTTACACCCTCACCACCACTCACCATTGTTACACCCTCACCACCACTCACCACTGTTACACCCTCACCACCCTCACCACCCTCACCACCACTCACCACTGTTACACCCTCACCACCACTCACCACCACTCACCACCCTCACCACCACCACCCTCACTCACCGTTACACCCTCACCACCACCACCACCCTCACCACCCTCACCACCACCACCACCCTCACCACCCTCACCACTCACCGTTACACCCTTACCATCACCGCTCACCACCACCACCCTCACCACCACCACCCTCACCATCACCCTCACCACCCTCACCACTCACTGTTACACCCTCACCACCACTCACCACCGTTACACCCTCACCACCACTCACCACCACTCACCACTGTTACACCCTAACCACCCTCACCACCCTCACCACTGTTACACCCTCACCACTGTTACACCCTCACCACTGTTACACCCTCACCACTGTTACACCCTCACCACTGTTACACCCTCACCACCACTCACCCTCACACCACCACCATTACACCCTCACCACCACCACCCACCGTTACACCCTCACCACCACCACCCTCACCACCACCACCCTCACCACCACCCTCACCACCCTCACCACCACCACCCTCACCACCACCACCCTCACCACCACCACCACCACCCTCACCACCACCACCACCACCCTCACCACCCTCACCACCACCACCCTCACCACCACCACCCTCACCCTCACCACCCTCACCACCACCACCCTCACCACCACCACCCCCACCGTGCCCCCCCCCCCACCGTGCCCCCCCCCCACCGTGCCCCCCCCCCCCCCCACCGTGCCCCCCCCCCCCCCCACCGAGCCCCCCACGGCACCTTAAGGAACTTGCTCTTGATGTCGGCGCCTCCCCCCACCGTGACGGCGCCCTCCCCCCCCCACCGTGGCTGCCGGAGTGGGGGGCTGCTTCTTCAGGAAGCTGGCCGGCCCCCCACCACAGCTATCTGACGAACTCCCTCCACTGTCACCGTCATCACCAGAGCCTGGTGGGGGGGGGGTGAGTGGGGGGGGGGTGAGTGGTGGGGGGGTGAGTAGTGGGGGGGGGTGAGTGGGGGGAGTGGGGGGCTGCTTCTTCAGGAAGCTGGCCGGCCCCCCACCACAGCTATCTGACGAACTCCCTCCACTGTCACCGTCATCACCAGAGCCTGGTGGGGGGGGGGTGAGTGGTGGGGGGGTGAGTGGTGGGGGGGTGAGTGGGTGGAGTGGGGGGGTGAGTGGGTGGAGTGGGGGGCTGCTTCTTCAGGAAGCTGGCCGGCCCCCCACTACTGCTATCTGACGAACTCCCTCCACTGTCACCGTCATCACCAGAGCCTGGTGGGGGGGTGGTGAGTGGTGGGGGGGTGAGTGGTGGTGGGGGGGTGAGTAGTGGGGGGGGGTGAGTGGGTGGAGTGGGGGGCTGCTTCTTCAGGAAGCTGGCCGGCCCCCCACCACAGCTATCTGACGAACTCCCTCCACTGTCACCGTCATCACCAGAGCCTGGTGGGGGGGTGAGTGGTGGGGGGGTGAGTAGTGGGGGGGGGGGTGAGTGGGTGGAGTGGGGGGGTGAGTGGGTGGAGTGGGGGGCTGCTTCTTCAGGAAGCTGGCCGGCCCCCCACCACAGCTATCTGACGAACTCCCTCCACTGTCACCGTCATCACCAGAGCCTGGTGGTGGGGGGGGTGGTGGGGGGGTGAGTAGTGGGGGGGTGAGTAGTGGGGGGGGGTGAGTGGGTGGAGTGGGGGGCTGCTTCTTCAGGAAGCTGGCCGGCCCCCCACCACAGCTATCTGACGAACTCCCTCCACTGTCACCGTCATCACCAGAGCCTGGTGGGGGGGTGAGTGGTGGGGGGGTGAGTAGTGGGGGGGTGAGTGGGTGGAGTGGGGGGGTGAGTGGGTGGAGTGGGGGGCTGCTTCTTCAGGAAGCTGGCCGGCCCCCCACCACAGCTATCTGACGAACTCCCTCCACTGTCACCGTCATCACCAGAGCCTGGTGGTGGGGGGGTGGTGGGGGGGTGAGTGGTGGGGGGGTGAGTAGTGGGGGGGGGTGAGTGGGTGGAGTGGGGGGCTGCTTCTTCAGGAAGCTGGCCGGCCCCCCACCACAGCTATCTGACGAACTCCCTCCACTGTCACCGTCATCACCAGAGCCTGGTGGGGGGGGGGTGAGTGGTGGGGGGGTGAGTGGTGGGGGGGTGAGTAGTGGGGGGGGGTGAGTGGGTGGAGTGGGGGGCTGCTTCTTCAGGAAGCTGGCCGGCCCCCCACCACAGCTATCTGACGAACTCCCTCCACTGTCACCGTCATCACCAGAGCCTGGTGGTGGGGGGGTGGTGGGGGGGTGAGTGGTGGGGGGGTGAGTAGTGGGGGGGGGTGAGTGGGTGGAGTGGGGGGCTGCTTCTTCAGGAAGCTGGCCGGCCCCCCACCACAGCTATCTGACGAACTCCCTCCACTGTCACCGTCATCACCAGAGCCTGGTGGTGGGGGGGTGGTGGGGGGGTGAGTGGTGGGGGGGTGAGTGGTGGGGGGGTGAGTAGTGGGGGGGGGTGAGTAGTGGGGGGGGGTGAGTAGTGGGTGGAGTGGGGGGCTGCTTCTTCAGGAAGCTGGCCGGCCCCCCACCACAGCTATCTGACGAACTCCCTCCACTGTCACCGTCATCACCAGAGCCTGGTGGTGGGGGGGTGGTGAGTGGTGGGGGGGTGAGTAGTGGGGGGGGGTGAGTGGGTGGAGTGGGGGGCTGCTTCTTCAGGAAGCTGCCCGGCCCCCCACCACAGCTATCTGACGAACTCCCTCCACTGTCACCGTCATCACCAGAGCCTGGTGGTGGGGGGGTGGTGAGTGGTGGGGGGGTGAGTGGTGGTGGGGGGGTGAGTAGTGGGGGGGTGAGTGGGTGGAGTGGGGGGCTGCTTCTTCAGGAAGCTGGCCGGCCCCCCACCACAGCTATCTGACGAACTCCCTCCACTGTCACCGTCATCACCAGAGCCTGGTGGGGGGGTGAGTAGTGGGGGGGTGAGTAGTGGGGGGGTGAGTGGGTGGAGTGGGGGGCTGCTTCTTCAGGAAGCTGGCCGGCCCCCCACCACAGCTATCTGACGAACTCCCTCCACTGTCACCGTCATCACCAGAGCCTGGTGGGGGGGGTGAGTAGTGGGGGGGTGAGTAGTGGGGGGGTGAGTGGGTGGAGTGGGGGGCTGCTTCTTCAGGAAGCTGGCCGGCCCCCCACCACAGCTATCTGACGAACTCCCTCCACTGTCACCGTCATCACCAGAGCCTGGTGGTGGGGGGGGGGGTGAGTGGTGGGGGGGTGAGTAGTGGGGGGGTGAGTGGGTGGAGTGGGGGGCTGCTTCTTCAGGAAGCTGGCCGGCCCCCCACCACAGCTATCTGACGAACTCCCTCCACTGTCACCGTCATCACCAGAGCCTGGTGGGGGGGGGGTGGTGAGTGGTGGGGGGGTGAGTAGTGGGGGGGTGAGTGGGTGGAGTGGGGGGGTGAGTGGGTGGAGTGGGGGGCTGCTTCTTCAGGAAGCTGGCCGGCCCCCCACCACAGCTATCTGACGAACTCCCTCCACTGTCACCGTCATCACCAGAGCCTGGTGGGGGGGGGGGTGGTGAGTGGTGGGGGGGTGAGTAGTGGTGGGGGGTGAGTAGTGGGGGGGTGTGAGTGGGTGGAGTGGGGGGCTGCTTCTTCAGGAAGCTGGCCGGCCCCCCACCACAGCTATCTGACGAACTCCCTCCACTGTCACCGTCATCACCAGAGCCTGGTGGTGGGGGGGTGGTGAGTGGTGGGGGGGTGAGTGGTGGTGGGGGGGTGAGTAGTGGGGGGGTGAGTGGGTGGAGTGGGGGGCTGCTTCTTCAGGAAGCTGGCCGGCCCCCCACCACAGCTATCTGACGAACTCCCTCCACTGTCACCGTCATCACCAGAGCCTGGTGGGGGGGTGAGTAGTGGGGGGGTGAGTAGTGGGGGGGTGAGTGGGTGGAGTGGGGGGCTGCTTCTTCAGGAAGCTGGCCGGCCCCCCACCACAGCTATCTGACGAACTCCCTCCACTGTCACCGTCATCACCAGAGCCTGGTGGGGGGGTGAGTGGTGGGGGGGTGGTGAGTAGTGGGGGGGGGGTGAGTAGTGGGGGGGGGTGAGTGGGTGGAGTGGGGGGCTGCTTCTTCAGGAAGCTGGCCGGCCCCCCACCACAGCTATCTGACGAACTCCCTCCACTGTCACCGTCATCACCAGAGCCTGGTGGTGGGGGGGTGAGTGGTGGGGGGGTGAGTGGTGGGGGGTGAGTGGTGGGGGGGGTGAGTGGTGGGGGGGTGAGTAGTGGGGGGGTGAGTGGTGGGGGGGTGAGTGGGGGGGTGAGTGGGAGGGGGTGAGTGGGGGGGGGGGGGAGTGGGAGTGGGGGGGGGGTGAGTGGGGGGGTGAGTGGGGGGGGTGAGTGGGGGGGTGAGTGGGTGGAGTGGGGGGGTGAATGGAGTGGTGGGGGGGTGAATGGAGTGGTGGGGGGGGTGTTAGTGGGGGGTGTTAGTGGGGGGGCACGGTGGGGGGTGTTAGTGGGGGGTGAGTGGGTGGAGTGGGGGGGTGAATGGAGTGGTGGGGGGGTGAATGGAGTGGTGGGGGGGTGTTAGTGGGGGGTGTTAGTGGGGGGTGTTAGTGGGGGGTATTAGTGGGGGGCACGGTGGGGGTCACTCACCGGCATCGTCACTGTCGCCTTCCTCATCCGACTGCACAGGGTTCTGCAAACAACAACAACAACTTGGTGAGTAGTGGTGAGTGGTGGTGAGTAGTGGTGAGTGTAGTGGTGAGTGTAGTGGTGAGTAGTGGTGGTGAGTAGTGGTGAGTAGTGGTGGGTGTAGTGGTGAGTGTAGTGGTGAGTGTAGTGGTGAGAGTAGTGGTGAGTAGTGGTGAGTGTAGTGGTGAGTGTAGTGGTGAGTAGTGGTGAGTGTAGTGGTGAGTAGTGGTGCGTGTAGTGGTGAGTGTAGTGGTGAGTAGTGGTGAGTGTAGTGGTGAGTAGTGGTGAGTGTAGTGGTGAGTGTAGTGGTGAGTAGTGGTGAGTGTAGTGGTGAGTAGTGGTGAGTAGTGGTGAGTGTAGTGGTGAGTAGTGGTGAGTAGTGGTGAGTGTAGTGGTGAGTGTAGTGGTGAGTAGTGGTGAGTAGTGGTGAGTGTAGTGGTGAGTGTAGTGGTGAGTAGTGGTGAGTAGTGGTGAGTGTAGTGGTGAGTAGTGGTGAGTAGTGGTGAGTGGTGGTGAGTGGTGGTGAGTAGTGGTGAGTAGTGGTGAGTAGTGGTGAGTGTAGTGGTGAGTAGTGGTGAGTGTAGTGGTGTGCAGTGGTGAGTATAGTGGTGAGTAGTGGTGAGTAGTGGTGAGTGTAGTGGTGAGTGTAGTGGTGAGTAGTGGTGAGTAGTGGTGAGTGTAGTGGTGAGTAGTGGTGAGTAGTGGTGAGTGTAGTGGTGAGTGTAGTGGTGAGTAGTGGTGAGTAGTGGTGAGTGTGTAGTGGTGTGTAGTGGTGAGTAGTAGTGGTGAGTAGTGGTGAGTAGTGGTGAGTGTAGTGGTGAGTAGTGAGTAGTGGTGAGCAGTAGTGAGTGTGTAGTGGTGAGTAGTGGTGAGTAGTGTTGAGTGTGTAGTGGTGAGTAGTGGTGAGTAGTGGTGTGTAGTGGTGAGTGTAGTGGTGAGTGGTGGTGAGTAGTGGTGAGTGTAGTGGTGAGTGTAGTGGTGAGTAGTGGTGAGTAGTGGTGAGTGTGTAGTGGTGTGTAGTGGTGAGTGTGTAGTGGTGAGTGAGTAGTGGTGAGTAGTGGTGAGTAGTGGTGAGTGTGTAGTGGTGAGTAGTGGTGAGTAGTGAGTGGTGAGTAGTGGTGAGTAGTGGTGAGTAGTGGTGTGTAGTGGTGAGTAGTGGTGAGTGTAGTGGTGAGTAGTGGTGAGTGTAGTGGTGAGTAGTGGTGAGTAGTGGTGAGTGTGTAGTGGTGAGTGTGTAGTGGTGAGTGTGTAGTGGTGAGTGTGTAGTGGTGAGTAGTGGTGTGTAGTGGTGAGTAGTGGTTAGTAGTGGTGAGTAGCGGTGAGTGTAGTGGTGAGTAGTGGTGAGAGTAGTGGTGAGTAGTGGTGAGAGTAGTGGTGAGTAGTGGTGAGTAGTCGTGAGTGTAGTGGTGAGTAATGGTGAGTGTAGTGGTGAGTAATGGTGAGTGTAGTGGTGAGTAGTGTTGAGTAGTGGTGAGTAGTGGTGAGTAGTGGTGAGTAGTGGTGTGTGTGTAGTGGTGAGTAGTGGTGAGTAGTGGTGAGAGTAGTGGTGAGTGTAGTGGTGAGTGTGGTGGTGTGTAGTGGTGAGTAGTGGTGTGTGTGTAGTGGTGAGTAGTGGTGAGTAGTGGTGTGTGTGTAGTGGTGAGTAGTGGTGAGTGAGTTGTGGTGAGTGAGTAGTGGTGAGTAGTGGTGAGCGTAGTGGTGAGCGAAGTGGTGACTAGTGGTGAGAGTAGTGGTGAGTGTAGTGGTGAGTAGTGGTGAGTAGTGGTGAGTGTAGTGGTGAGTGGTGGTGAGTAGTGGTGAGTAGTGGTGAGAGTAGTGGTGAGTAGTGGTGAGTGTAGTGGTGAGTGTAGTGGTGAGTAGTGGTGAGTGTGTAGTGATGAGTGTGTAGTGGTGAGTGTGTAGTGGTGAGTGTGTAGTGATGAGTAGTGGTGAGTAGTGGTGAGTAGTGGTGAGTGTGTAGTGATGAGTGTGTAGTGGTGAGTGTGTAGTGGTGAGTGTAGTGGTGAGTGGTGGTGAGTAGTGGTGAGTAGTGGTGAGAGTAGTGGTGAGTAGTGGTGAGTGTAGTGGTGAGTGTAGTGGTGAGTAGTGGTGAGTGTGTAGTGATGAGTGTGTAGTGGTGAGTGTGTAGTGGTGAGTGTGTAGTGATGAGTAGTGGTGAGTGTGTAGTGGTGAGTGTGTAGTGGTGAGTGTGTAGTGGTGTGTGTGTAGTGGCGAGTGTGTAGTGGTGAGTGTGTAGTGGTGAGTGTGTAGTGGTGAGTGTGTAGTGGTGAGTGTGTAGTGGCGAGTGAGTAGTGGTGAGTGTATAGTGGTGAGCGTGTAGTGGTGAGTGTGTAGTGGTGAGTGTGCAGTGGTGAGTGTGTAGTGGTGAGTGTATAGTGGTGAGCGTGTAGTGGTGAGTGTGTAGTGGTGAGTGTGTAGTGGTGAGTGTATAGTGGTGAGTGTGTAGTGGTGAGCGTGTAGTGGTGAGTATGTAGTGGTGAGTGCATAGTGGTGAGTGCGTAGTGGTGAGTGTGTAGTGGTGAGTGTGTAGTGGTGAGTGTGTAGTGGTGAGTGTAGTGGTGAGTGTGTAGTGGTGAGTGTGTAGTGGTGAGCGTGTAGTGGTGAGCGTGTAGTGGTGAGCGTGTAGTGGTGAGCATGTAGTGGTGAGCGTGTAGTGGTGAGTGTGTAGTGGTGAGTGTGTAGTGGTGAGTGTGTAGTGGTGAGTGTATAGTGGTGAGTATGTAGTGGTGAGTGTATAGTGGTGAGTGTGTAGTGGTGAGTGTGTAGTGGTGAGTGTGTAGCGGTGAGTGTGTAGTGGTGAGCGTGTAGTGGTGAGTGTGTAGTGGTGAGTGTGTAGTGGTGAGTGTGTAGTGGTGAGTGTGTAGTGGTGAGTGTGTAGTGGTGAGTGTGTAGTGGTGAGTGTGTAGTGGTGAGCGTGTAGTGGTGAGCGTGTAGTGGTGAGTGTGTAGTGGTGAGTGTGTAGTGGTGAGTGTGTAGTGGTGAGTGTGTAGTGGTGAGTGTGTAGTGGTGAGTATGTAGTGGTGAGTGTGTAGTGGTGAGTGTGTAGTGGTGAGTGTGTAGTGGTGAGTGTGCAGTGGTGAGTGTGTAGTGGTGAGTATGTAGTGGTGAGTGTGTAGTGGTGAGTGTGTAGTGGTGAGTGTGTAGTGGTGAGTATGTAGTGGTGAGTGTGTAGTGGTGAGTGTGTAGTGGTGAGTGAGTAGTGGTGAGTGTGTAGTGGTGAGTGTGTAGTGGTGAGTGTGTAGTGGTGAGCGTGTAGTGGTGAGTGTGTAGTGGTGAGTGTGTAGTGGTGAGTGTGTAGTGGTGAGTGTGTAGTGGTGAGCGTGTAGTGGTGAGTAGTGGTGAGTGTGTAGTGGTGAGTGTGTAGTGGTGAGTGTGTAGTGGTGAGCGTGTAGTGGTGAGTGTGTAGTTGCGAGTGAGTAGTGGTGAGCGTGTAGTGGTGAGTGTGTAGTGGTGAGTGTGTAGTGGTGAGTGTGTAGTGGTGAGTGTGTAGTGGTGAGCGTGTAACGGTGAGCGTGTAGTGGTGAGTGTGTAGTGGTGAGTGTGTAGTGGTGAGTGTGTAGTGGTGAGTGTGTAGTGGTGAGTGTGTAGTGGTGAGTGTGTAGTGGTGAGTGTGTAGTGGTGAGCGTTCAGCGCTGAGCGTAGCGGTGAGTGTATAGTGGTGAGCGTAGTGGTGAGTGTGTAGTGGTGAGTGTGTAGTGGTGAGTGTGTAGTGGTGAGTGTGTAGCGGTGAGCGTGCAGAGTGGTGAGCGGTGAGCGGTGAGTGGTGAGCGGTGAGCCAACTCACTTTGCGGTGATTCGCTATCTCCGTGTCGAAGTCACGGCTGTATCGGCGCAGCTTCTGCCGCAGGCTGATCAGGGCCTTCGAGTTGATCTTGCTCATCTTCTTCCGACCGTCTTTGTCTTCCCACACCTGGGTGAGGGGGCGGTGGGTGAGGTGAGGGAGCGGTGGGTGGGTGAGGGAGCGGTGGGTGGGTGAGGGAGCGGTGGGTGGGTGAGGTGGCGGTGGGTGAGGGAGCGGTGGGTGAGGTGGCGGTGGGTGGGTGAGAGAGCGGTGGGTGGGTGAGGGAGCGGTGGGTGAGGTGGCGGTGGGTGGGTGAGGGAGCGGTGGGTGAGGGAGCGGTGGGTGGGTGAGGTGGCGGTGGGTGGGTGAGGGAGCGGTGGGTGAGGGAGCGGTGGGTGGGTGAGGGAGCGGTGGGTGGGTGAGGGAGCGGTGGGTGGGTGAGGGAGCGGTGGGTGAGGTGAGGGAGCGGTGGGTGGGTGAGGGAGCGGTGGGTGAGGGAGCGGTGGGTGGGTGAGGGAGCGGTGGGTGAGGTGAGGGAGCGGTGGGTGGGTGAGGGAGCGGTGGGTGGGTGAGGTGGCGGTGGGTGGGTGAGGTGGCGGTGTGGGTGAGGTGGCGGTGGGTGGGTGAGGGAGCGGTGGGTGGGTGAGGGAGCGGTGGGTGGGTGAGGTGGCGGTGGGTGGGTGAGGGAGCGGTGGGTGGGTGAGGTGGCGGTGGGTGGGTGAGGGAGCGGTGGGTGGGTGAGGGAGCGGTGGGTGAGGGAGCGGTGGGTGGGTGAGGGAGCGGTGGGTGGGTGAGGTGGCGGTGGGTGGGTGAGGGAGCGGTGGGTGGGTGAGGTGGCGGTGTGGGTGAGGTGGCGGTGGGTGGGTGAGGGAGCGGTGGGTGGGTGAGGTGGCGGTGGGTGGGTGAGGGAGCGGTGGGTGGGTGAGGTGGCGGTGGGTGGGTGAGGGAGCGGTGGGTGGGTGAGGGAGCGGTGGGTGGGTGAGGTGGCGGTGGGTGGGTGAGGGAGCGGTGGGTGGGTGAGGTGGCGGTGGGTGGGTGAGGTGGCGGTGGGTGGGTGAGGGAGCGGTGGGTGAGGTGGCGGTGGGTGGGTGAGGGAGCGGTGGGTGGGTGAGGGAGCGGTGGGTGGGTGAGGGAGCGGTGGGTGGGTGAGGGAGCGGTGGGTGGGTGAGGGAGCGGTGGGTGGGTGAGGGAGCGGTGGGTGGGTGGCGGTGGGTGGGTGAGGGAGCGGTGGGTGGGTGAGGTGGCGGTGGGTGGGTGAGGGAGCGGTGGGTGAGGGAGCGGTGGGTGGGTGAGGGAGCGGTGGGTGGGTGAGGTGGCGGTGGGTGGGTGAGGTGGCGGTGGGTGGGTGAGGGAGCGGTGGGTGGGTGAGGGAGCGGTGGGTGGGTGAGGTGGCGGTGGGTGGGTGAGGGAGCGGTGGGTGGGTGAGGGAGCGGTGGGTGAGGGAGCGGTGGGTGGGTGAGTGAGCGGTGGGTGGGTGAGGGAGCGGTGGGTGGGTGGCGGTGGGTGGGTGAGGGAGCGGTGGGTGGGTGAGGGAGCGGTGGGTGGGTGAGTGAGCGGTGGGTGGGTGAGGGAGCGGTGGGTGGGTGGCGGTGGGTGGGTGAGGGAGCGGTGGGTGGGTGAGGGAGCGGTGGGTGGGTGAGGTGGCGGTGGCGGTGGGTGGGTGAGGTGGCGGTGGGTGGGTGAGGTGGCGGTGGGTGGGTGAGGGAGCGGTGGGTGGGTGAGGGAGCGGTGGGTGGGTGAGGGAGCGGTGGGTGGGTGAGGGAGCGGTGGGTGGGTGAGGGAGCGGTGGGTGGGTGAGGTGGCGGTGGGTGGGTGAGGGAGCGGTGGGTGGGTGGCGGTGGGTGGGTGAGGGAGCGGTGGGTGGGTGAGGGAGCGGTGGGTGGGTGAGGGAGCGGTGGGTGGGTGAGGGAGCGGTGGGTGGGTGAGGGAGCGGTGGGTGGGTGAGGGAGCGGTGGGTGGGTGGCGGTGGGTGGGTGAGGGAGCGGTGGGTGGGTGGCGGTGGGTGTGAGGGGCCCAGCGTCGCGCCCAGCCAAGCCCCCAAGCGCCACAACACGTGGGGCGAGGAGATCCCGACCCTGGCCATGGCCGTGTGTGTGTGTGAGATCCTCCACTCCATCACTCATTCGTTCGTCGCTCTCTCTCATTCGTTCGTTCATTCATCGCGTTCTCTCTCATTCATCACTCTCTCATTCATTCACCACTCTCTCTGATTCATTCATCACGCTCTCATTCATTCACCACTCTCTCACTCATTCGTTCATCACTCTCTCAATCATTCATCACTCATTCATCACTCTCTCATTCATTCACCACTCTCTCTTATTCATTCATTCACCACTCTCTCATTCATTCATCACGCTCTCATTCATTCATCACTCATTCATTCATTACTCTCATTCATTCATTACTCCCTCTCATTCATTCATCACGCTCTCATTCATTCACCACTCTTGTCCCCCATTCATTCACCACTCACTCTCTCATTCATTCATTACTGTCTCATTCATTCACCACTCTCTATCTCATTCATCACTCTCTCATTCATTCACCACTCTCTCATTCATTCACCACTCTCATTCATTCATCACTCTCATTCATCTCTCTCATTCATCCCCCACTCTCTCGCATTCATTCACCACTCATTCATTCACCATTCTCTCATTCATTCACCATTCTCTCATTCATCACTCTCTCTCTCATTCATTCACCACTCATTCATTCACCACTCTCATTCATTCACCACTCTCTCTCCCTCCTCCATCCTCCACTCTCTCTCCCTCCTCCCTCCACCCCTCTCCTCCAACTCCCCATTCCTCTTCAGCCTCTCCCCCCACCATCTCCCACCACCCCCCGACCATCTCCCCTCATCCCCCACCATCGCCCCCCACAAAAGAGCCATACTTCACCTCGCTCACGCAATCCTCCATGTCGGCCAGGATGCGAGCGTAGAAGCGTGGGACGCCCTCCTTGTCCACGATGGCCGTGTGTGTGTGATCCTCCACTCCATCATTCATTCATTCACCACTCTCATTCATTCATTCATCACTCTCTCATTCATCACTCTCATTCATCACTCTCTCTCTCTCATATTCACTCTCTCATTCATCTCTCTCATTCATTCATTCATCACTCTCTCATTCATTCACCACTCTCTCTCATTCATTCATCACTCTCCCTCTCTCATTCATCACTCTCCCTCTCTCATTCATCACTCTCTCTCTCATTCATCACCACTCACTCTCCCTCCTCCATCCTCCACTCTCTCTCCCTCCTCCATCCACCCCTCTCCTCCAACTCCTCATCCTCTCCCCCCACCATCTCCCACCACCCCCCACCATCTCCCACCACCACCCCCCACCATCCCCCCCCTTACAAAAGAGCCATACTTCACCTCGCTCACGCAATCCTCCATGTCGGCCAGGATGCGAGCGTAGAAGCGTGGGACGCCCTCCTTGTCCACGATGGCCGTGTGTGTGTGATCCTCCACTCCATCATTCATTCATTCACCACTCTCATTCATTCATTCATCACTCTCTCATTCATCACTCTCATTCATCACTCTCCCTCTCTCATATTCACTCTCTCATTCATCTCTCTCATTCATTCATTCATCACTCTCTCATTCATTCACCACTCTCTCTCATTCATTCACCACTCTCCCTCTCTCATTCATCACTCTCTCTCTCATTCATCACCACTCACTCTCCCTCCTCCATCCTCCACTCTCTCTCCCTCCTCCCTCCACCCCTCTCCTCCAACTCCTCATCCTCTCCCCCCACCATCTCCCACCACCCCCCACCATCCTCTCCCACCACCCCCCACCATCCCCCCCCTTACAAAAGAGCCATACTTCACCTCGCTCACGCAATCCTCCATGTCGGCCAGGATGCGAGCGTAGAAGCGAGGGACGCCCTCCTTGTCCACGATGGCCGTGTGTGTGTGTGATCCTCCACTCCATCATTCATTCATTCACCACTCTCATTCATTCATTACTCTCTCATTCATTCATTAATCACTCTCTCATTCATTAATCACTCTCTCATTCATTCACCACTCTCTCTCCCTCCTCCATCCTCCACTCTCTCTCCCTCCTCCCTCCACCCCTCTCCTCCAACTCCTCATCCTCTCCCCCCACCACCCCCCACCATCTCCCACCACCCCCCACCATCCCCCCCCTTACAAAAGAGCCATACTTCACCTCGCTCACGCAATCCTCCATGTCGGCCAGGATGCGAGCGTAGAAGCGTGGGACGCCCTCCTTGTCCACGATGGCCGTGTGTGTGTGATCCTCCACTCCATCATTCATTCATTCACCACTCTCATTCATTCATTCATCACTCTCTCATTCATCACTCTCATTCATCACTCTCCCTCTCTCATTCATCTCTCTCTCATTCACTCTCTCATTCATCTCTCTCTCATTCATTCATCACTCTCTCATTCATTCACCACTCTCTCTCATTCATTCACCACTCTCCCTCTCTCATTCATCACTCTCTCTCTCATTCATCACCACTCTCTCTCCCTCCTCCATCCTCCACTCTCTCTCCCTCCTCCCTCCACCCCTCTCCTCCAACTCCTCATCCTCTCCCCCCACCATCTCCCACCACCCCCCACCATCTCCCACCACCCCCCACCATCGCCCCTTACAAAAGAGCCATACTTCACCTCGCTCACGCAATCCTCCATGTCGGCCAGGATGCGAGCGTAGAAGCGTGGGACGCCCTCCTTGTCCACGATGGCCGTGTGTGTGTGATCCTCCACTCCATCATTCATTCATTCACCACTCTCATTCATTCATTTATCACTCTCTCATTCATCACTCTCATTCATCACTCTCCCTCTCTCATATTCACTCTCTCATTCATCTCTCTCATTCATTCATTCATCACTCTCTCATTCATTCACCACTCTCTCTCATTCATTCATCACTCTCCCTCTCTCATTCATCACTCTCCCTCTCTCATTCATCACTCTCTCTCTCATTCATCACCACTCACTCTCCCTCCTCCATCCTCCACTCTCTCTCCCTCCTCCCTCCACCCCTCTCCTCCAACTCCTCATCCTCTCCCCCCACCATCTCCCACCACCCCCCACCATCCTCTCCCACCACCCCCCACCATCGCCCCCCCTTACAAAAGAGCCATACTTCACCTCGCTCACGCAATCCTCCATGTCGGCCAGGATGCGAGCGTAGAAGCGTGGGACGCCCTCCTTGTCCACGATGGCCGTGTGTGTGTGATCCTCCACTCCATCATTCATTCATCACTCTCATTCATTCACCACTCTCTCTCATTCATTCATCACTCTCATTCATCACTCTCCCTCTCTCATTCATCTCTCTCTCATTCACTCTCTCATTCATCTCTCTCTCATTCATTCATTCATCACTCTCTCATTCATTCACCACTCTCTCTCATTCATTCACCACTCTCCCTCTCTCATTCATCACTCTCTCTCTCATTCATCACCACTCACTCTCCCTCCTCCATCCTCCACTCTCTCTCCCTCCTCCCTCCACCCCTCTCCTCCAACTCCTCATCCTCTCCCCCCACCATCTCCCACCACCCCCCACCATCCTCTCCCACCACCCCCCACCATCCCCCCCCCTTACAAAAGAGCCATACTTCACCTCGCTCACGCAATCCTCCATGTCGGCCAGGATGCGAGCGTAGAAGCGTGGGACGCCCTCCTTGTCCACGATGGCCGTGTGTGTGTGTGATCCTCCACTCCATCATTCATTCATCACTCTCTCTCTCATTCATCACTCTCTCATTCATTCATCACTCTCTCTCATTCATCACTCTCTCATTCATTCACCACTCTCTCTCATTCATCACTCTCATTCATTCATCACTCTCTCATTCATTCACCACTCTCATTCATCTTTCTCTCATTCATCACTCTCA